CATATATTAATCACACTGAAAAAAATTAAAGACAAGGAAAAATCACTGAAAGCCCAAGAGAAAAGCAACAAATAACATAAAAGGGAATCCCCACAAGGTAACAGTTGGTTTTTCAGAAGAAACTCTGCAAGCCAGAAGGGAGTAGCACAATATATTTAAAGTGATGAAAGGAAAAAAAAAATCTACAACCAAAAATACTCTATCCAGCAAGGTTCATCATTCAGATTAGATGGAGAAATCAAAAGCTTTACAGCCAAGCAAAAGCTAAGAGAATTCAGCACCACCAAACTAGCCTTAAAACAAATCCTAAAGGAACTTCTCTACATGGAAAAGAAAAGGCCACAACTACAATAGAATCAAGAAAATTACGAATGGGAAAGCTCATCAGTAAAGGCAAACCCAAAGTAAAGGCAAATAAAGTAAATCCAACTACACATTAGATATAATATCAAAGCCAGCAACTGTGAGTAGATGAGACTACAAATGCAGGATACTGGAAATGCACTGGGAAAAAAAGAGGCCAGCAACTTAAACTGGCACATAAATATCAAACCTGCAATATCAAAACCTCCCAGGAACCACAAACCAAAAATCTACAGTAAATACACAAGCAATAAAGAAAAGGCAATCCAAATACAATAAAGATAGACATCAAATCAAAAGATTACAAAAGAAAAGAAATAAGACCCACAAAAATAAAACAATTAAAATGGAAATAAGAACATACATATCGATAATTAGCTTACATGTAAATAGATTAAATGCTCTAACCAAGACATTGACTGGCTGAATGGATATAAAAACAAGACCTGTATATGTGCTGTCTACAAGGGACATACTTCAAATCTAGGGACAAATATAAAGTGAGGGGATGGGAAAAGGTACTCCACGCAAATAGAAATCAAAAGAAAGCAGCCATACTCACATCAGACAAAATAGACTACAAGAGACAAGGAAGGTCACTACATAATGATGAAGGGATCCATTCAAGAAGAAGATGTAACAACTGTAAATATCTGTGCACCCACCATAGGAGCACCTCAATACATAAGGCAAACACTAACAGCCACAAAAGGAGAACTTGCCAGTAACACAATAGTGAGGGACTTCTCTGGACAGAACACCTAGACAGAAAATCAATAAGGAAACATAGGCCTTAAATGACACAGTAGACCAGATGGACTGAAGTGGTATTTATAGAACACTGCATCCAAAAAGCAGCAGAACACACTCTCTTCTCAACTGCACATCACACATTCTCCAACACAGAGTCACATCTTAGGTCACAAATCAAGCCTTGGTAAACTTAAGAAAATCGAAATCATATCAGCATGCATCTTTTCCAACCACAATGCTGTGAGATTAGAAATCAATCACAGAGGCAAAAAACTATAAAGACACACAAAACCTGGAGGCTTAATGATATGTTACTAAACCATCAGTGGATCACAGAAGTCAAAGAGGAAATCAAAAGGTACCTTGAGACAAATGAAAACATAAATATGATAATGCAAAACCTTTGGGATGCAGCAAAAGCAGTTCTATGAGGGAAGTTTACAGTAGTAAAGTCTTACCTGAGGAAACAAGAAAAATCTCAAATAACTTACCCTTATACCCAAAGCAACTAGAGAAAGAACAAAAAAATCCAAATACCCAAAGCAACCAGAGAAAGAACAAACAGACCCAAAGTTAGAAAAAGAGAAATCATAAAGATCAGAGCAGAAATACATTTGATCCTAGCCCAAAGGCCCAGAAATGGTAAAGAATAGAAATAAATGAAACAGATAAGAAAACAGAAAAATATCAATAAAACTAAAACCTGGTTCTTTGAAAATATAAACAAAATTGATAAATTTTAGCCAAACTCATCAAGAAAATAAGGGAGAGGGCTCAAATCAATAAAAACAGAAATGAAAAAGGAGAACTTAAATGGATACCACAGAAATAAAGAAGATCATGAGAGATTACTATACCTATATGCCAGTAAAATGGACAACCTAGAAGAAATGGATAAATTTTTAGAAAGATAAAAACTTCCAAGACTGAACCAGGAAGAAATAGAAAATATGAATAGGCCAACTACAAGTACTAATATTGAAACCATGATTTAAAAACTTCCATCAGACAAAAGTCTAGGACCAGGTGGTTTCAGAGGTGATTCTATCAAGTATTTAGAGAAGAGTTAACACCTACCCTTCTGACACTTGTTCAAAACACTGCAGAGGAAGGAAACATCCCAAGCTCATTTTACAAAGCCACCATCACCCTGATACCAAAAGCAGACAAAGACATCACCACTGTTCCGCCCCCCACCCCCCCAAAGAAAATTACAGGCCAGTATCACTGATGAGGGGCTTCCCTGATGACTCAGATGGTAATACATCGCCTGCAATGCAGGAGACCTGGGTTTGATCCCTGGGTCTGATCCCTGGGTCGGGAAGATCCCCTGGAGAAGGGAATGGCTACCCACTCCAGTATTCCTGCCTAGAGAATTCCATGGACAGTGAACATAGACACAAAAATACTCAACAAAATTCTAGCAAACTGAATCCAACAATACATTAAAAGGATCATACACCACAATCTAATGGGATTTATCCCAGGGATGTAAGGATTCTTCAATATTATATGCCACATTAACAAATGTCACCACACTCTTCAATGTTATATATCACATTAACAAACCAAAGACTAAAAGTCATATGATCACCTCAATAGATGCAGAGAAAGGTTTCAGCAAAATTCAACACCCATGCATGGTAAAGACTCTGCAGAAAGTGGTCACAAAGGAAATATACCTCAACATAATAAAGGCCATATATGACAAACCCACGTCTAACGTCATTCTTGATGGTGAAAACCTGAACGCTTTCCCTCTAAGATCAGGAACAAGTCAAGGATATCCACTCTCACCACTTTTATTCAGTGTGGTTTTGGAAGTCCTAGCCACACCAATCAGAGAAACAAAAAGAAATAAGAGGAATCAAAATTGGAAAGGAAGTGAAACTGCCATTGTTTGCAGATGACATGATACTACTATACACAGAAGATCCTTAAGATGCTACCAGAAAAAGACTAAAGCTCATCAGTGAATCTGAGAAAATTGCAGGATACAGAATTAACAGAGAAATCTGTTGCATTTCTATATACTAGCAACAAAAGATCAAAAAGAGAAATTAAGGAAACAATCCCATTAACCACTGTATCAGAAAGAATGAAATACCAAGGAATAAACCTACACAAAGAGACAAGAGACCTGCAGACGGAAAACTAAGACACTGATGAAAGAAATCAAAATGACACAGAGATCGGATTGGAAGAGTCAATAGTTAAAATGACTGTACTACCAAAGGCAATCTACAGACTCAATACAATCCCTAGCAAATTACCAAGAGTATTTTTCACAGAACTAGAACAAAAAATTTTCTGAAGTTTGTATGGAGACACAAAGGACCCTGAACAGCCAAACCATTCCTAGGAGAGAAAAACAGAGTTGAAGGAATCAGACTCCCTGACCTCAGACTATACTACAAAGCTATGGTCATCAAAAACAGTATGGTACTGGCACAAAAACAGAATAGATCAATGGAACAGGATAGAAAGCTCAAAAATAAACCTGTACCTGTGCTCAATTAATCTATGACCAAGGAGGCAGGAAGAACAATGGAGAAAAGACAGTCTCTTCAAGTGATGCCAGGAAAACTGGACAGCTACATGTAAAAGAATGAAATCAGAACATCATTTAATGCCATACACAAAAATAAACTCAAAATGGATCAAAGACCTAAACGTAAGGCCAGACACTGTAAAACTCTTAGAGAATAACACAGGCAGAACACTCTTTGACATAAATCACTGCAGTATCTTTTTGGGTCCACCTCCTAATGAAAATAAGGACAAAAGTAAACAAGTGGGATCTAATTAAATTTAAAAGCTTCTGCACAGCAAAGGAAACCATAAGCAAAATGAAAAGACAACCCACAGAATGGGAGAAAATACTTGCAAACAATGTGACCAACAAGGAATTAATCTCCAAAATATACAAACAGCTCCTGCTGCTCTGCATCCAAAAAACAAACAACTCAATCAAAAAATGAGCAGAGGATTTAAACAGACATTTCTCCAAAAAAGACATACAGATGGCCAACAAGCACTCAGCATAGCTTATTATTATTAGACAAACGCAAATCAAAACTACAGAGACATCACCTCACACAATAAAAAAGAAAGAATATATGTGTATGTCTAATTGAATCATCCTACTGTACCCCTGAAACTGACATTATAAATCAAGTATACTCCAATAAAATAAAAAATATATAAAAATAAATGTTTTAAAATTGCCCCCTCCTCCAAAAATAAGGCACCAAATAACATGGGTTCCAGCTCACCCCTTCCATGCCCCTTGGAAAGTTACTCAAATAAACAAGGAAACAAGCCAAGGGGCAAGACATTCAGAAGGAACCTTACCAAGCTCTCCAAAGATTCCAGTACCATTCTCAGAGAAAAAGGTGCCGGAGGAGACCAGAGCTGCATTTTGGGGGTCACTCGTTGGGAGGTCCAGCTCTGTCCTGTATCACTCACCCCTCCCCGCCTTCCACCCCCAGCCAGGAGTCAGCAATTTTCTGAATGAGGGTATCAACTCCATCCTTTCAGGCCAGAGGGAGCTGGAAAAGCCCAGGGCCCAGCTGAGGAGTTGCAGGTAATGTGGTCCTGACCCGCTCATCCACCACAAACTTTCTGAACAACTCCCACATGCCAGGCGGGGAGACAGGTTCCTGCCCCAGCAGGGCTGCACGCTAGGGTAGGCAGGAGGGAAGGGGCAGACAAGACAGGTCCTCAGTGAGGAAACCACTGGACACTTTCACTTCTCTTTCATAAGTTCTGTGAAGAAAGTAAGAAGGTGGTGGGCCACGAGGCAACAAGGCCACGGTGGGTTCTTTCAGGCCCCTTTGAAGGGACGCGTGGCCCGAGACTTGAGTGATGTGTGGAGCCAGGATATGCCGGCAGGGAAGGGAGGCTTCGGGCGGAGAAGCGGCAGGGGCAGAGGTCGGGTGGAAACCGCCGCCCTGCAGGGAAGAGCAAGGCCAGGGACACCATCACACGGGGCCAGGGACTCCGGAGCCCTGGAGCCAGATGTGCGCGTGAAGAATTCACCTCGGACGTCCCAGCTGTAAGAAGCGGACCCCAGCCCGGAGAGCGGAGGGGCAGCACGCACTCTGCAGCCGGGTCTGCCACACAGGAACAGGGCCCCTGGAGACAGCCCAGCCCTTCCTGCGTGACCCTGGGAAAGTGACTTCACCTCTTTGCACCCATTTTTCTCAGCCACGAAAGTGATGATGAAAGCAGCTGCGGCCTCGTAGGTTTGTCGGGAGAATACATGAGACAAGTGGATGGTAAGCATCGGGACGGCCGGGCCCTCTCCTCCTCACCCAGTCAGCTGTTTAATTATTGCTGCCACTACCACTGCCACGGAATAATCAGAGAAGACACTCCCCCCAGCCGTGCTCCAACGGCAACCTTCACTTCTGAATAAAGGGCTTTTTCACTGTCCACTCTGTTCATTTTTAAGTTGATTTTTTTTTTCTTAACGAATATGCAGTATTTTTGTAGTCAGGAAAAACACTGAAGGTTTTCCTCAAGCCTGCTGGGTCTGGGTTACTTCTAGAACTGTGATAAGGAAGGATTCCAAAGCTATCAGATGACACACCCACGCAGGGTTGCATGCTGCAGCCAGGGTCCCGGGAGGGGGGACACACCCCATGATGCCGCAGCCCAAGTCCCCACTCTGCCCACGCCTGGAGGACGCACACACCTCGGGGAGCCCCTGGGGTGCAGGGGCAGCCATCCATTCAAGTTTCAAGTGGAAAACAAACTAAGCCCCTCATGAGCAGGCAGACCTGCTAACTGAAAGTAAAATCAGCATGACCAATATAACAGAAGCAGAGCCACAGATCACTCTAGATACAAATTGTCAACGGGGCCTTTCCCTAGATGCTTCTACTTTTCAATGGCCCTTTCTTTGAAAAAAAGAACCAAAAAAAAAAAAAACCCACTATACATCTATTCATCTTTGGCCTGTTTTAAAACTGCAACAGTTTTAAAACTGTTGATATTTTCCACCGTGCGTTTATTTTGATCTCGTTTTTCAGCTTGGGATTGTGAAAGGTTTCAAATGTGCAGGAATGTCCCGGAACTGTGTAAGGCACACCTCCTGGTCTTGTGTGGTTATAGCGTCTGCTGGGGGCTGCTCCGCCCTGCCCCAGCCCGCGGTCTCCCCCAAGCCTGGCCTCATCGCAAGCCCCGGCCCTTCTGCAGGGCACTGGGCTGGCCATGGGGGCGGTTCTAGAACATGGAGGCCACTCCTGAGGTCACCCCCACAGGGCCGAAGCCCAGCCCTTGCACACCCTCCTACGAGGCACCCTGTGGGGCAGCCAGGTCCCGACCTGCGGTCCTAAGATCTGAGCAGCAGCGCCACCGCAAAAGGGTTTCACACACTCGCACACACTCACACATACTCCCAGGCGGGCAGTGACCCTGTCACCCACACCCAAAGTCAGGAAGGGAAACGGGGTCCCAGAGGACCCAGAGGGGCAGGCAGGCGCCTCAGGGCCTTCTCCACGTGCTCCGGCCTTTTCACCTGATGCACACGATTGTTAAGCACACCTGAAATGCAGCCACTGGGCTCTCATGATTGATATAAGCCAGGTCCCAGGTGGACAGTGGCCTCTGGTCATCAGGGCTATTATTTTGAGTTGATCATGCTGCGTGGATGGATGCCAGTTCCACCGGGATGGGCGGGCCGCCCCGAGGAAGGGTCTGGGTGGCACGCTGCCCTGGCATTTCCCGGGCAACAGGCTTTCTTCCCAGAAGAGGCAGAGGACAGGAGGTAAGGGGTCAAGGCCTGTGAAAGGCTGCTGAAAGATGAAGCAACACCTGTTGCAAAGAATCAGCGGGGAATTTGGTCGGGAAGGGAGCCAGACGGAGCGCCTGACTGCCATGTACCCACACGGCACTGGGCATCTTACATGGAAGATTTCATCCTCATAGCCAAGCCTGACAAGGTGATGACTCGGTTCTAATCAAGATGGGCTGGGCTGTGCTGCGACAACCAACAACCCCGAGCCTCAGTGGCGCTGGGGGAAGAGACATTCCTTGCTCATGAGATGTGCTCTGTGGGTTAGCTGGTGGTTGGGGTGAGGGGAGGAGAGTGCTCTTCCCATCACCATCACTCCCGGCGACCCAAATGACACCACAGCACCAGTCACAGCCACTGGGAAGAGAGAAAGATCTGGCAAGTGTGGCACTGGTGCTTGGCTTAGAAGGACACACATCACTTCTGCCCCCATCTCACTGGCCAAAACTAGGCTTCCCAGGTGGTGCTAAGTGGTAAAAGAACCCACCTGCCAATACAGGAGACTTAAGAGACATGGGTTCGATTCCAAGGTTGGGAAGATGCCCTGGAGGAGGAAATAGCAACCCACTCCAGTATTCTTGCCTGAAGAATCCCATGGACAGAGGAGCCTGGTGGGCTACAGCCCATGGGGTCGCAAAGAGTCAGACACGACCCAAATGACTTAGCAGGCACAGTCATGAGGCTTCACTCACCTAGAAGAGCATCAGAGGTGGGATCCTACCACACAGCCTCTCGGTTCTGTAATTTACAAATAAGAAAACAGCAGCTCAGAGATGAATGGGGATGACAACAGTACTACTAACAAACCATAGTGATGAGCACCGACTACGTACGAGGCTCTGTGCTGAGTGCTTTTTACAGGCTGGGACACTGGGCAAGGAGATGTGGAATGACTCCCTGAAATGACTGCCAGGGCCACAGGTCCAGCCCAGGAGATGCAGCCACGGATGGTCAGTGCCCCTTCTTCTGCTCAAGACCCCCTCCGCTGGGTGTGAGCTCCACGAACCAAGTGAGACAGGCCAACAGGCACACCCCAGAGCTCAGTCATTATTACTGAAGACAACACGGAAGAGAAGGCAAAATACAGAAGATGAAGATCCCCAGGAATCACAGTCCCAGCACAGACGTTCTCATGGGGGTGAGGCTATCAGGAGGTGGTGGGCAGGAACACTGTCCTAAGGAGGCAACCACTGGCTCTTGGAGGACAGAAAAAACTCTTATTTGTTCTAGGTGCAAAGCACAGACACACACACCAAACACAGACACACAGTGTGAGTCGCTAGGTCATGTCGGATTATTTGTGACCCCATGGACTGCAGCCCAACAGGCTCCTCTGTCCATGAGATTCTCCAGGCAAGAGCACTGGAGTGCATTGCATGCCCTCCTCCAGGGGATCTTCCTGACCCAGGGATCAAACTCTCCGGCATGGCAGACAGATTCTTTATCATCTGAGCCACCAGGGAAGGTTAAGTATATCCTTATAGTATACCTGGTATTAAAATTTATGCGGGGGAAGCACAGGGTTGAATGCAATTAGGAATAAAAGGTCCAAAAAGGTTTGTGGTAGGGAAGTGATTAAGGTTGAGAAATACTGAAGAGAGTAACTATTTTCACTTTTGCTTCTTATTTTCAGCCTTTATTCCCAAACATTTTACATTGTTGCAGTTACGGAACACGATTTCACATTGTTTTTACCCATTCAGAGAAGTCGGCATGTTCCATTCATCACTGAACACAGACTGGCTTGGGCCTCCTGCTTACAAACACCAGGATGAACCTGCTCAGTCTCTCTGGGATCGCTGGCAGTAATTTTAATGTCTGTGCAGCACAGAACCACCCTGACTTCCTAATTCATTCATCCGTAGTTTTGAATTTGTATCCAACAAACAACATCTCTGTGCTGAGGTGTGCTTCCTCACTCAGTCACGTCCAGCTCTTTTCCAACTCCATGGACTGTAGCTCACCAGGTTCCACTGTCCGTCGGACTTCCCAGGAAAGAATACTGGAGTGGGTAGCCATTCCCTTCTCCAGGGGATCTTCCCGACCCAGGGATGGAACCCGAGAAGCGAAAGGCTACCCACTCCTGTATCCTGGCCTGGAGAATTCCATGGACTGTATAGTCCATGGGGTCACAAAGAGTCAGACATGACTGAGCAACTTTCGCTTTGAGATAAAAATCTCTGGAGAATTATTACAGACGTCTGATGTCAGATTGTCCTAGCAGCTCTGTTTAGCCTGCTTCATGAAAGCAACCTGGCAACAAAGAGGCTTCTTTCGGCTTAGAGAGCGGTGGCTCAGATGCCTCCAAATTCAGTGGGGCAGAGAGACGCTGCCATCTGGGCTCCACTGCTGTGTCCTGCTGCTCCTCAGCTCTGGCCCCGAGACGGGGGGTCTGCAAGTCTGCAAGCCCAGCTGCTGCTGCAGACAGGAGCAGGGCCAATGAGACAGACATCCCGGCTCTCAGAGGGGACAAAGAGCTCGGTGCTCCGGTTCGCCCGTCTGTTGAAATCGCTTGTCTCCTTTCAGTTATCCAGAGCGAGACAGAGCGGAGAAACAAAGCAGGGGCCAGAGAACAGCCCCAGTGCAAAGCAAACATCGCCACCCGGTCCTGGGTTCCTCCTCCGCCAGCAGGACTGGCTGGGCCCTTGGCAAACAGAGGTGGTGCGGGGGCTGGGGACGGGGAGGGAGGCTGTCTCTCTTCCTGTCTGGCCCCCTGAAAGATCTGCAGCGGCCCACAGATGGAGCCATTAAGAGAACTCTGGCCTAGATATCACTTTCAGCAAGCCACCTGGAGTGACAGCCTGGGAGGAAAATGAACATGCAGAAAAGGACAGAAGAGGGGAAAAAAAAAAAACCAGTCAAGCACCAGCCACTTACTGGTCATGAGCTGCTTTCTCCCAGTGTCCAGAAGCTTCTTCTAGTCCAGCCTGGCAGTGTCGGACCAGAATGGGAAGGTGCCTCAAGTGTCGAAGCCCAGGACACAGCTCTGTCTGTCCCCTCCCACGGGGAGGGCGGAGGGCAGGGGCGTGTGGCTAGACAGCGCTTTGGCAAGATCTTTCAAAAGGACAGAAGACGTACCCTCTGCCCCAGCCTCTCCACACCTAGGAATCCTGCCCTCTGTTGCCTTTTGGCTACAAGCAAAAGATTGCAAATGCCTCAATGTTCATGAGTGAGAGGCCCAGTTAAAGAAACAGTGGTTCATTCATACAGTGGAGTACTACGGAACTATATATATATATACACACACACAATAAGCAACTGGCTTTTTCTGCTAAAACAAGAAGTGTTGTGAATAGGAGGCTGTCTCTTACATCTGTTAAAAACCAACTACCTAGTCACCCACACAGACCCGTAGTACACACACACCTGCTGGAGATGCACAGACTGTCTCAGTAGGCTGAGCAAGAAAGCCAGTTGACAGTAGGCACTGCTGGTGAGCAGGGTGAGGAAACTTGTCTTCACCTCACAACCCCAAGAACCTGCCAGATGCTATGCCAGACCCAGGGTCACCTTTTCTTTTTTTTTTAAACCCTGCTTTGAGCGAGTGTTTCGCCAAGCCTTGTACAAGCCTTCTTTCACTGTATTCTTATGGCACCTCTTCGAGGCCATCATTGTCCCCATTACACAGATGGGAAAACTGAGGCCCATAGAAGGTAAGAAATGTGCACACGCCCTCAGTACTCAAAGCTGTTTTGTTCCAGAGTCCCTGCTCACACAGGGTGCCGAGTCTGGCATGCTGTGATGACCCAGAGGGGTGTAATGGGAGAGAGGCAAGGGACGTAAGAGGAAGGGGACATATATATATATAACTGTGACTGATTCGGGTTGTTGTATGGCAGAAACCAACACAACATTGTAAAGCAATTATCCTCCAATTAAAAAATAAAAAAGAAAGAAAAAAAGAAAAACCCTAGTGAACTTTTGGGCCAACCTAATACCTTTTTCAGCGAAGAAAGGACCAAGGTTTTAATGTGAAATTTTAGCCTTGAGAAGTCAGCAGGCTTAAAGAACTGGAAAGTTAGCTTCCAAAACATCATTATTGTGTTTTTCCTGTGCTATACTGAAAGTCCATTTAATACATTTATACAATATTCATGAAAAGTGGAAGTATTAGTTGCTCAGTTGGATCCGACTCTTTGCGACCCCATGGACTGCAGCCCGCCTCTGTCCTTGGGATTCTCCAGCAAGAACACTGGAGTAGGTAGCCATTCCCTTCTCCAGGGGATCTCCCCAACCCAGGGATCAAACCCAGGTCTCCCACATAGCAGGCAGATTCCCTATCATCTGAGCCGCCAGGAAACTGCTGTACATAAATCACTGTTCAGTAACTAGCAGCACTATCTTCTCTGTGTTTTTCCAAGAGAAATGAAACCATGTTCACTCAAAAACCTGTATACAAATTATTACAGCAGCTTTATTCCTGATTACTAAAACTTGGGAAAAAAACAAACCAACCAAAAAACCCCACACAAAGTGCCTGCTCAAATGGCACCTCATGGGCTGTTGAGAAAGAAGAACCTTCCCGGCTGCCAAGGCTGTGTGCGCCTGACCAGGATATGCTGTTCTTAATGAAAAGCACTTGATTTCTCAAGTGCCTTGCTGCCACTTGGCAAACCTGAGCCCTCCTTCCTGGGCCTCTGGAGAGGAGGCAGGGTGAGGAAGTGTGCTCGCAGCTGGCCAGGCCCCGTGCCACCCTGAAGAGCGCGTGATACATCTGAAAGTAACCTGGCCTGCGTTAACAGGCTCTCTCTTGGGCGTCTGCCTTCCTCCCTGCCTGGGGAGCAGGGACTTTGGTCTGGGACCTCCCTGCTGGCCGGTGCTGCCAGCAAAGCCACCTCTGTACTGCAAAGCTTATGCCAGGTATTCAGACATTCAGTGCCTCAGCTTCCACGTCTGTAAAATGGGTGTGAAGAGAATCACACCGACCTCGCAGGATCCCTGAGGGATTGAAGGGGAAAACAGATGAACAGAGA